AAGTGCTCTCAGCATTGTTCATACCGGATAGTTGCGTTGTGACTGATAGAGTTCCAAGTAATGCCACGTCATGGCTTGATTAGAGCAACAGTATATTATCATTTCAATTAACTTTAATGGTTTTGAGAAATACTACAATGAGGTCATGTCACATGTAAGGTGTGAAAGCTTGACAGGGTAACCAAACTGTGAAGCCGTTTGACCGTCATACCGTCGACTTGGGTTTGATCTCACAATTGGTATGCCCATTTTCGACGTTATATAGCTCATATATAACTAAAAATGCTTTCTCACTTTGAAATAACTTGCCTGAAAATTCACCCAGCAATGAATGGGTACCCGGTGGGTTAAGGTCAATTAACTGAGAGAGAGAGAGAGAGAGAGAGAGAGAGAGAGAGAGAGAGAGAGAGAGAGAGAGAGAGAGGTAGGTGTGTGTGTGTGTGTAGGTTTGTAGGTGTGTGTGTGTGTGTGTGTGTGTGTGTGTGTGTGTGTGTGAACCTGAAAATGAATCCAACGCAAGTCACATGTAATCACGTGAACAGCTGTTGCGCATTTTCACCCCACGATCCGTGAAATTCATAAATATGAGTGGTACGTTACCATGCTTTATCAACATCGATTTCGAGGGGACATGCAAAAAAAAGATATGTAGATAAGCACTGCTTCAGTCACAACTTGTCTTTCCGACTAATATAGGAGCTTTCATAAAAAAATGTCTGCTTATCACAGGTTGTTTATGTTTTACAGTTATTTAAATTGTTATTTACTGTAGTATATATTTAATGACCGATTTCAAATTCTGCCTCAGAGTTGCTGTCAGTTACTTTATATGGACAATGTCAAACAGGAATATTTCTTTTGCTATTTGATAAATAGTTGGGAACTCTGTTTAATCACTAAACGGACTTTCTCGCATGGGGCTCTCCCAATAGAATTATACATGTAATACAAACAACGGATTTCCTGTCTTATAATATTGTAAAGCTCGGAGTTGCAACCCAATCGAAATGAAAGCACTGGTCATAGGTATAAGTTTGTGTATTTATATTCATGACTGAAATTTATGCAAATATACAGCCTGGCTTACGGCAGAGAGTCAGACGCAGTATAAGCTATGATATGAAAGTATAAGTATAAGTATTTATTACGTTGCGCGTGCTTTTGATAACAGGATTCAGGATTTTTTTTTTATTCTCATAAATCATACAAAATGATATAGAGAACATACATATATTTTGAAAAATACAAAGTGCCATTATGGCTTATATGCATATAAATATAATATAAATGTATAACTAAAACAGGAATAATACAAGTTTCGTTAAACTTGACAGTTTCTGTACCAAAGGATGATAGTGAGATTTCATAAGGGAAATAAATTTATCAATATGGGGGTTATTACAAAATAGCTAGGGAGTGTACTTTTTATTACATCATCTAGAGCTCTGCATGATAAGATAATATGAAATTCGTCACATATAACATGGTGGTTACAAATTGTACACATTCTATTTTCTGTATATATAATACCATCTGCCTGTATACACATATCATCAGTGCATATCACATTAATGTGCAGGGATTTTCTCGAAAACAGTAAACAGTCCACTGTAGGGGTGAAGCGGTACACCGCGGTATTAGTAGAACCGCGGTATTTTGCCTTCAGTTCGGTATATCATAATGCAATCCAAAGATTCGGTATTTTCGGTTTTCGTACCGTCAGTTCTATTTAGTCATAAAATGACAGTTTTGTTCATTCAAATTTACAAAGATTATGGTTATTTTGTTTCCATGTTAATAAACAATGTACGGTTTGGTTCGTGTTGTCACTTTTCTGCTTTATGATCATATCCCATATACCGAACCCAACCGATGACCTTGTACCGCAATACGTACCGTACCGTGGTAAGAGCGTACCGTTTCACCCTAATGTCCAAGAAAATGCTGGCAAAAAGAAATATGCCTCAGACTGATGTAAAAAGTTGTCTTCGGCAAAGGTAAATAGCCCAATTTGCTTAAAAAACATTTGCACTCGTAGTTTTGATAAACAGCATGTAGATTTTGCAGAATCAGTTCTGTGATCAAATGAACGGTCGCTGGACCGCGTTCCACAAAGCGATGGTAGCGGTAAGTTGATGTAACTCTATTACTTTAAAAATTACACAGAGCAACATCAACACAGACCTAGTCTGTCATACAGACCCTGAAGCAAATATATCCAAGAAAGCCTATGCAAGTCCAGAATATGTGGCAGGTCTAGAGAGTCTCAGGGATCATTTTCAGTATATATATATATTTTTTTTCACTATGAACTGTTTTCTTCTGTTAAATATGTTCATTTCAGACAATAGTTGTTAGTGTAACACAACCCTTGCTAGAGTCCAAGCTAAATTTAGACGGTGTCGTCTCACGACGCCGACCTTTCGATTTTCCACTAGTCTCAGGACGCCGACCTGCGGTTTTCTTTGAAGTTTAGGTTCTGATTAGGCTTAGGGTAATCTACTCTAGATGTTTTGATAAGGTGAACTCGTCGCACATGCACGGGTCACTTGAGGGTGAACTCATGTCACTTGAAAAGTTTACAATAACACTTAGCAGAGTGCCAATATTGAACACTGTTCATATCTTTGGTATAAATATCTATGGAATGGCCAAATGATTCACATTCGATTTCGAAATGGCAAATGCACAGCTAGATCAGAGATTCATCCCTACAGCCCGCGGCGGTCGTTACTTGGTTGTTGGCGGGTTCATGTACAGAGTCAGCAAGAGAAAACGAGACTGGATATCTTGGATATGTACTGCAAAAGGCTGCAAATCCACAGCATCAACAACGAATGACATCGTCACCATGGTGAACGATGAACACAATCATCAAACTGTCACGCGTGATATTAAGGTAAGAGTTTAAATTCTTATATATGTATAAATTTTGTTATTGCCACAGATGTTTATAACAGATGCTTAATAAATGGAAAAGTTTGGAATTTTATAACAGATGCTTAATAAATGGAACCAAATGGTTAATAATTCTTTGCTTTTTGTAGGCGAAGGAGACGCTAGAAAAGCTGAGGAGGTAGAGGACCTGTGGCTGGATACCTTGGCGACGATGCCAGATGATGACCGGTGCCGACAACTCGGGGACTACATGACCAACTTCTAGGTGGAGGGAGATCTGCACATGACGCAATGGAACCACCACAACTCAGATGGGCCAAGAACAAACAACCACCTAGAAGGATGGCATTCCCGCCTGAAGAAATACATCGGCAAGGCTCATCCAAACATTTTCGAGATTGTGTCCTTCTTGTCACGAGAACAGACAAACACCGAAAACAAGCTAGTCCAGTATGCTGCTGGCCAGAAGCGTCCCTCCAAAAAGAGGAAATACAGGGATTTGGAGCGACGACTGGATCACATCTGTCACCAGCTTGAACAAGGAACACTGTCCGTGAGGCAGTTTGCTGATTCAGCATCCCACCTATTGCATTTAGGTTAAAATCTTTGAAAAAAATGTATGCTATATGAATTTACGATGTATTTATTAAAAATGCTAAAATCTGTCAACTAATAAAAATCTGTCATCTGTTGTCATCTTCTCATTAGGTGCGCTCTCATCCGCATAATCCGGATTATCCTCCTCTAACAACACTTTGATCCTGCATTGTCCTCGTAATCCATTATTAAGTGGCAAAGTGAAACTAGTCTCAGGACGTCGACCTTCAGATTGCACCCAACCGTAAAGTTGGGTCGAAAGGTCGGCGTCGTGAGCCTGAACCATTTAGACACGACCGGTTTTCCTAGCCAGGCTATTAATATAACAACCCGTGAGCAGTCTCTGGATGAGGGATAAATTGCTTGATGTCTGAACATAGTGCAGCATTCAGTATATTGCAGAAGGTAAATACAAATGTTTGGTATACAAAACTGCATACTTTTACACAGGGCATACATATTGGCATTTTGTACTCACAAGTTTTGAAACTGTCCAATTCCCTTGTGATCCAATAAAATTAGAAAAAAAACCCCAATATTTAGACATTGCTTGCCAATTACCGTGGAAACAACACTATTTCCCAAACGAGAAAAAGCAAGAAATATACGTTTATAAATGCGGTTCAATAATTACCCTTCGGCGGAACACGGCTTTGCACAATTGTACATTTTCAATTTATCATATTATATAATTTAACTGAGAGTTTTACTCCATCTCATTTCCAAAAAGAAACATTGTAACGATATACACCCTGAGTTCAATATTAAAACACATAGATGAATAGGTGATGGTGTACTTTGGTTTCAGATCAGCATTTTTGTTTAATGTTTAAAGCTATAATGTTTTCAACATCCAAAGGTACTTACTTAAATAAGCAAATGTTTGCAAGACAAATTACAATTTGATTTTCACTACCGTGGTCCGCGAGTCTATTGTTTTCTTCAGTCAGTAAAATAAAGGTTTGATAAGGTATTTAGACCCTGTGTGCCGTTGTATTTTTAAAAGATAACTAAGCTCTAAAGTTAAACTAAATTATGACCTTTCACTAAAACTGACCGCATATTGACACTTTAGGATTATCACACGTCGAGAAAATGGCTCAAAAACACATGCATGGAAATAGAATAATAATATATTGACATACCACTAAAATTCCAGTTATCACGACGTGGTTTTCAATTTTCCAAAATGCTGTTCACGGTGACCATTGGTTTACCATCAGTATCTGTACAATTATTTGTACCTTGAACATTGAAACCGCCTTATAACAGAGACATCCCCAGAAAGTAAAACGATGGGATTTACATCGGTAAAATATATAGCGCTGCTTTACTTACAAGAATACTCGATGGCCGGATGCACATGTGTATATACACACACGATGTGAAATAACACTATCTATAAATAAATCTCTCAGGGTGCTTCCCCCTTCTATTAGAAGACCATTCTGGGTTTCCCCGTGTCTAAATCAGTAAATGGCGCGCCTGCGCATGATTTGCGCAGACACAAGGACATAAATACGTTCACGACATCGCACTAGGAGTTAGACCGATAGAGCTCGCTATAAAGCGTAGTGTAACGTGGTGATTTGGTATGGGTGATTTGCGGGACGTGGTAGAGGCCGATGGGGCACAAGTTGTTCAACCTCCCATTACCCAGACAGCTCGATATGAACCGACAACTGAACCCCAAAACGACGCCGACAAGCTCAGGCAGAGACTGAACACATATGCAAGATGGTCGAGCAAGAAGAGCGCGCTGCAGTTAGCAACGGCAGGATTTATCTTCACAGGTATTTTGCTTCTGACAGATTTGATTAATGTCAAACATAAGTTGACTCTGCTGGACTGATATATTTTTGGGGTTTTCTTGCAGTTAGTTATATAGGGTGTATGTCTGTGTAGATCAGGTCGGGGAGAACCGCAAAACGACCTATAATAGTTAGATGGAGCTATAGTAGTTCAAACGAGCTTTATGCCTATAGGTCGATCGAGCTATAAGAGCACATAAATGGAAGAGGCCCTTTAAGAACAACTTTCCGCACTGCGGTCATGGCATTGCTACACACGACTGGAATCGTCTTACCCATATTTGAAGCGACGTGCACCACAAACCCGAGCGTTTGTGATATATGAGCTGCTAAACTACCTAACCCTATGGACAGTTACACTTGGGAGACAATATAACACACCTGAAAACTGAAAATATACCCCAAAACTTGGAGTCCCACTTCGCGAACAGCTGAACTTGACGATTGCATGACTTCCGGTTTGGAAATAGTACTCGTTACACGTGTATTTTTTGTTTTCCACTACCGTTAGACGAATAAACAAAAAAACTATACAAGCCCAGTGTGGGACACATTTATCCGTCGCGCGAATTCTGAATCTGTTGCGTATTGATCACTAAATAAGGTCTATCCTTGTTTTGTATCGCATCTGGATGTGTTGTCGTGAAATTGTTTGTGTATTTAGTCGTATGGTCATTGCAACTCTTCGGAAGTACTTGTCATTTGGTCACATTCACTCATTCCATGCAATATGTTATCACCATAATGTGTAATTGTTGTAACTAGGCTTCTTGAGGACTAAATCGTCCATTTTGAATTTATAATGAGACACCTGGCCCCTGATTTCTCGAAACAAACTTAAGTTTTTACTCAAATATCAAACTGAGTTTGACAATTTGAAACAGCTGAATTCTTAACTCAACTGCATTTTATAAAATAAAAAGCCCCAAACAACTTAAGTAATCCATCCACCAAACTCAAATTGTCTACTATGTTTGAGTTTAATATCGATTTCAGTTCATTCTGCTGAAATGCGTTTTCTCAAATTTGAGTAGAAACTTTAACTTAAGTCAAAACTCAGACTTTAAGTTTGTTTCGAGAAATTGGGGCCTGGACACCTGGTGTGTCTATTTTAGATGATGTGTCTTTGTCTCAGGTCTATAGTGAGATCTATGGTGTGAACACCTGGTGTGTCTATTTTTAGATGATGAGTCACTGCTCTCTATTGTATATTGAGATGGTGTGAACACCTGGTGTGTCTATTTTTAGATGATGAGTCACTGTTCTCTATTGTATATTGAGATGGTGTGAACACCTGGTGTGTCTATTTTTAGAATAATATAAAGTCCCCCTGAACAGCCCTCATTCACAGCTCAGTCACTACACCTAGTGATTACACATTGTGGATATACCAGTGTATTTCTTATGGGATTACTAATCAACCTTGGATTATACTGTGTGATTCACTGGGTTTATATTTTCAATAGCTCAACCTCTCAACTACACATCTCTGGAGTGATTAAACATTCTGGATATTTCTCACTGGATTACATAACATCTTTGGATTAATGGAGTCACTACACATTATGCTACCAGTGTATTTCTCTTTTATCTCAAAGCGAGCGCCCATTATCGCAGTATCAATTCCCGTCTGACTAACTATAACTATTAAAAATGTGAAATTCAAATGTATACAACGTCCTACCTTCAGTCCATACATTGTAACACACAGAATACATCGTAACACAGATTAAGATTTACACGTCATCATCAGATTGAACGAGTGTTGGGGATAAAGACTAGTGTACATGAAGTCAACTTACCTCGGTTCATCATATCCATTATTGAGGCAAACAGTGGTGGTAAATCTAGATGTTTAGAGGGGTTGGAACAAGTAACCCATTCATGTGAAGAAACAGATTGATTCATACTGTACTCCAACAATGAATGACTCATTTGCCCACCCGTAAGTCCGACCTACAGCCATTCAAAGCTATGTTTACGGGAAGGGAATCCCCTCTCCCACCCAAGCATGAAGATTAAGAAAACAAGCGTATAATGGAGTGAAAAATAAAATAACTTCAAATACATGTTACCGAGTGTCAATGTTAATACTTTCTTTTAATTTTCCACAGCCTCCAAGTGAGGTGTGCCATGTTCATTCTGCCATAACATTGCCTCTCCCTACGTTCAATGAACCGAGAAGCACCATACGGCCTTCACGCCCATTGAAGAAACCAGGTCATAGACCGCGTCCCCCGCCGCCATTTCGAAAAAAAATGATAAATAAATAGATTTAAACAAATAACAAAGTCCTAGCCATGCCCGCGGATGAAAAAAAATGAGTAAAATGTTGAAACTCATAGCGAAATCACTCACAGCATGCTTCTCACCAAAATATCCCATGTAGAACGAGTCACCATGAACTTACTTTAAAATCCCACATAATCATATGAATAAATACAGCCGATACACACACAGAATACAACCTATAGATAGTTGATTACACATGACTCACATATGCCATGAGCCTACTTTAAAACTCACACACAATCACATGAATAAACACAGCCCGATACACACACACACAGGATACGATCGATAGAAAGTTGACATGACTCCCGTTTGCCACGAATCATTAAATCCCAACACAATAAACACAGTCCAATCATAATCAGAACCTTTCCCTAGATTCATCGTTTTTTTCTAAACTATAGCTTGCATAAAACCAATTTTAGTGCGTAGATGTACTCGCATTGTTAACATGTGTACTCACGATACTGTCGTCAACAACATTATTCACACAATACGTTCATACGCAAAATACTCACAAATTAGAATAGAGAATGATCCATCACATAAATTCCACACCTACTGTGCTGTTTTAAACGGTCATGAAACCGCCAGAATACCTAAACACGCACAGCACAACATACGGCGGCGGTGAACAAAGAGCATTCAAGCTTGGCGCCAACAGCCCCTGCCTAAAACCGGTTCTGTCAAACTGGATCGCAAAAGGGTCTATCAAACCGGTTCGCAAACGGTTCTGACTCAAAATGGCTACATGTCCAAACCGGCTACATGTCCAAACCGGCTTTGTAGACCAAAAATAGCTTTACAACACTAGTGTAATAGCTTATGTATTTATAAACCGTTTATTATATATATATATATATATATATATATATATATATATATATATATATATATATATATATATATGTATATAAATATATTCATTACAGATCATTAAAATTGTTGTTGTATTCAATACAATGAACTGTAACAGTTGTTATCTTCAATACCATGAACTGAAACAGTTGTTATCTTGTATTCAATCAACAGGAATGACGATTAAACTGAAACTTGTATGTCTGATAATAGTATGAGGAGGTTAAACATTTTCGTGGATTCAGTGAAATAGGGTTGAAATTGGTATTATAAAAACCAAGAATTGTACAACAGTCGTTTTATGTCAATCCTACAGCAATACATTCAGTGAGTTTAGTACACTCTCAGCAGCTCTATGGCGGTGGTCTATACATAATTGCCTAGACAATCCAGTGATCAACAGCATGAGCGTCATTCTACACCATGTGCCATGTGTCAGCCAGCGAGCCTGACCACTCGATCCCCTTAGTCGCCTCTTATGACAAGCATGGGTTACTGAAGGGTAACCCAGACCTTGGAACTGTATGATCCAGAGTGGAAGAAAGACAAACAAAAACCAGAAACCACAGAGCAACCTAAGATTAATTTCGTTACCCCTACTCAACAAGTGGTCGAACAGGCCAAGGCTCTTATTCAGATGCAGAAGAAAGGGGAATCTAAAGCTGGAAGTTCCTCCCAGTTTCCCATGAAGAAACGGAAGACGACTGTTTAGATAAAAGCAGTCAGTAGACATGGTTCCCTGCCATTTAGACTCGGACCACCATGCAGTCAACAACGTGTCCCGTGTGCTATATGACTTTTTCCAGGACAGACAATATGTTGAGACATAGAAGACAGAAACATCAACAACCCTCTCCTCCTCCTCCTCCTCCTCCTCCTCCACAACCACAGCAGCAGCAGCAGCAGCAGCAACCACATTCATCAGAAAGTATTACCCAGGCATTGGAAGAATGTAGGTTGCGACATCCATTCACCATGATTGTCTCAGGGCCCACCTCCTGTGGGAAAACCTACTTAGTGAAACAGATTCTAGAAAGGATGAACATTAAACCTTATCCTGAACGTATTATATGGCTCTACAAACGATGGCAGCCCTTGTATAATGCCATTCAAACCAATGTTTATCCCTATGTGGAATTTCATCAAGGCATTCCTTCTGATCTCGAAAAGGATGCATTTCTAGACCCCCATGTGGTGAACGTGGTTATCCTCGATGACTTAATGTCTACTGCCAGCAAAGATCCACGCATTACAGATCTGTTTACGGAAGGAAGTCATCATCGTAATCTCTCAGTGATCGCCTTGAACCAGAATTTGTATTTCAGTAAGGATCCCACACAACGAAGAAACTGTCATTATCTGCTTCTGTTCAACAACCCTATCGATCAACAACCCATCATGACTTTGGCGAGGCAAATGTATCCAGGTAACACAGACCATTTCATGGAGCCGTTTCAAAGGGCTACCCAGAAGCCTTATGGCTACTTGTTGGTTGATCTAAAAACCCAAACACCTCCCCATAGGCGACTTTGTCCCAATGCATTCAGTTTAAAAGGACACCTCCAAGCCAGGACAATTCAGTCCGAGTTAGATGTTCAGCGTGAGCAGACGTGTGAAGACAACCTCTCAACCATGCCATCTTGTGATGCCTGTGGACTCGTGTTTCAAGATGTGCAAGATTTTGCAAAAACACAGAAGAAACTGGTGTCCCGAAAAGTCTTCAGTGGGTCCTCCTGGAATACCCCAAGTGAAAAAGGCAGGGGGAGGAAGACAACAACTTCTCACCTGTAAAGAGACCACGTCCCTCTGTCGGATTGTGACTATTGTGGTCAAGTGTTTAGCACTAACCATAATTTACAAAGACATTTACACGATAAACAATGTCCTGAAATGGAAAATGAGGACGATGATGTTGAATCATTAAGCGATGTCACACGTGGCAACAGGAAAAATAAGATGGCTGATCTCGAAGAGCAAGGTATAAGACAAATGTATTCACGTACGCTGGCGTGAGCTGAATAAAGACTTTTGGATGAGAAACGACAGCTGTACATAAAAAGAGGTTTAAACGAAGACATGATTCAAGCCAAACTGAACAAATTGATGTGGAGCACATTTAAAGAGACGTATGCCCGATTTATTACTTATCTGTACCATATGCAGTATGGTCCAAAGACAGAAGGAATACTGAAACAAGTAAAAGACACAAATAATATGTATCATGAAGTGATTTCAAAATTGTACCAATATAAGTCTTGGGTCGAAGGCATGACTGAAGATGAAGACATAACATCTGATGAAGAGAGTGAAGGACAGGTGGATGATGATGAAGGGTAATAAGACAACAGATGTAAAGTAGGCATTTGGGAGAGCTCCTATCCTAATGTCTACTCATTCGAAAGCAGCTAATAAACAATGAAATCTGTATATCTCTTGTTTCTTAATGTATTGTACCTCTGGGGTTACCCTTCAGTAACCCATGCACCAGGTGTTCACACCATCTCAATATACAATAGAGAGCAGTGACTCATCATCTAAAAATAGACACACCAGGTGTTCACACCATAGATCTCACTATAGACCTGAGACAAAGACACATCATCTAAAAATAGACACACCAGGTGTCCAGGTGTCTCATTATAAATTCAAAATGGACGATTTAGTCCTCAAGAAGCCTGGTTACAACGTCAATTCTTGCATTTTACCCATTCCCAAGGAGGTAGTGTTCAACAAATTGAGTGCAGATAGTACTTATTGAAAGAATACACATTCAATACATTTATGAACATGTTGTGAATGTGTTGTTCTGCAATATAAGTACTATCTGAACTCAATTTGTTGAACACTATTGCCATGGCTTCGGATTCCATTGTGAATGGGTAAATTGCACGAATTTAGCCTTCTGTAAGTGCATTACACATTATGGTGATTACCAATCCAGGGTAACATATATATAAACTGACGGGCAAAAGTTAGTATAACGTTTTCAATTTGGTTTGGGGAAATTGAGCATGTCTAAATTCGAATGAAACATCCAAAGCAAACATTGTCAAAGTCACGAGAATATTGCAGAATGGTAGTGATGTCAGTAGATGTAGTCACGTGACCCCTAGCACGAGAAAAAGGTATAACATGTAATCTTTGAAAATCACGAACATGCACGTGCACCAGTCGGGTAGAAATGGGATGGATACACGCTGGCATATCACAGTAACTGAAAGCACATGCAAAATGCTGAAGCTGACACAAATTCAGCGAGAGCGAGCCATTGAATGCGCGATATGGGAGCTACCCAAGCTCATCTTGCCAGAACGTTCGGCTGTACCCCAGCAACAATCCTCCAGGCTGTTCACACGTTACCGGAATACTGGTAGCACTCAAGACAGGCCGAGAAGTGGACGGCCACGGGTCACTACACCCATAGAAGACCGCTACATCCGGACTATCCATCTCCGGAACAGGTTCGTGACGGCAACGTCGACGGCGGCTACGGCACTCGGGCATCGTATCAGTCGTCGCACAGTGACCCCGAAGATTGAGATTAGCTGGTATAAGGGCTTACCGGCCTTTCCGCGGAATGGTCCTGACCCTCAGACATCGCCAAAACAGACAGCGGTGGGCAAGGCAGAGTATACAGGTGGCAAGTCCGAGATTGGCGACGTGTTCTCTTTTCCGATGAAAGCCGTTTCACCCCCTTTACAAGTGTGATGGCAAAGAACGGGTATATCGTCGACGAGGGGAACGTTTAGCAAGGCCATGCATCAGAGAAGATTTCATCCATTCGGCGGGGGTGGAGTCATGGTTTGGGGCGGTATCTGTGGAGACCAGAAGACCCGTCTGGTTGTAGTGCAGGGCAATCTCAATGCACGGGGTACATCGGACAGATCCTACAGCCAGTTGTGGTACCCTTCCTACAGAATCAACCCTGGGTGTACTCCTACAACATGACAACGCGAGACCTCACACTGCCAGAGAGACTCGCTACTTTCTGCAACAAGAACAATGTTGACGTCCTGCCCTGGCCAGCGTGCTCACCGGATATGAACCCGATCGAGCACCTCTGGGATCATCTGGACAGGAAGATCAGAGGTCGGCAACAAGTTCCACAGAACAGGCAACAGCTAGAGCAAGCACTCAGAGAGGAATGGAACCGCATCTCTAATGACGTCATTCGACGTTTGACGACGTCAATGAGGGGAGACGTGTGAGGGCATGCATTGACGCAGCAGGGGTCACACGATACTGATGTGCACAAGATCCTGTATTCAAGGAATGCCCCTGCTACTGACTCATAAACTCAGATTGTGATAATCGATTTATGCAAAATTCCACCCCTTGCGTGTTTACTTGACAGCGGCTCACAAACTCTTTGAATGAAATTGTTGATTTTTTGTGATTTACAGCTCAAGTGTTTTTTTATTATGATGCATTAAATATTTTTGGGAAATTTCGGTGTATGTCTTTGTTACAGGACGTTCAAAACGTCATATACTAACTTTTGCCCGTCAGTTTATATTGCATGGAATGAGTGAATGTGACCAAATGACAAGTACTTCCGAAGAGTGCTATTATAGCTCGATCGACCTATAGGCATATAGCTTGTTTGAACTACTATAGCTCCATCTAACTATTATAGGTCGTTTTGCGGTTCTCCCCGACCTGTAGATCAGTATTCCACCGTTTGAAGATATGACATTGTGTTTAATGTGTAGGAGTTCGGATAATTTAGAAATGGGATGTTGGGTGGTATAGAATAGTGTTATAGTGTTATGAGTTGTTTATATTTATTTATCGGCAGATTGGGTGGTTTTTATATACGTGGTTTGCTAATGTAAACAAATAGGTTGGGTGGCTTATAATTACGTTACTGCCTATTTTGCAAGTACTGTATTGACGTCGTTATCTTGTAGTCATTTATTCTACTTATTACTCACGTTTGGCAGTAAACTTCCGTTGGAATTTCCTTCGTCGGTCATGTAAGGTAGCTGGGTATCTGTCGTATCCCTTCGCTGTCCGCCATGTTGGGAGCGGAAGCGGAAGGTGCGCAGTGCCGCGGTGAAGTTGTTTACTGTTGCGTAGCCAATCATAACACTTCGTCGTGACCTTTCGGAGGTTAGCTCACGGGGTATATAAGAGCCTGATGCGACCCCCTTTCCCCCTCCAACATAACTCCTTTTATTTATTCATTCCTTATATAGCCCCTTATATAACTTATGCAGCTTAACTGCATCTAATATCTGCCCCCTATGCTATACATCCTTAGTACTCACCGCCCCCGCATTCCCCACCCCTAGGCCCCTTTTATTTCACCCATCGTTTATTTCAACTCTATTTCTTACTTATTAACAATCACTATTCCTATTTATTACTTCTTTCTCCTTTTTTTAACTTGGCTTTTTATTATTTTTATCTCTATTTATGTTTATAAACGTTTTTTATTCCAAATTCAACTTAGGTTTAACGCCCCAGCATTTATATTTTTTGGGTAAGGTGGTTTATCCCTTATTAACATTTATTATTTATTTATTAGCTCCCACCTACCCCGTCGGCGAAATTGGCTTATGCCAGAAGCCGACGTTAAACATCCAATTTCGTCGTCGCTATCGTTGTCTTGCGTATCGGTGTTCCGAGCAAGTAAGTCCACTGCCTATACGAGGGATGTTCCCTACGGCTCGTTAGGTTTGATTTAGTTTTTTTTTGTAAGACTCTTATTGTAGAAGTAGTTTCATACTGTAGTCGGGTGAGGTAAGAACATAGATTATGACATAGTTTATTTTCTCGGGTTTAACAGGTAGGTAGTGTGGGTTGGGGGAGAAACTAGTGTTAGGAATTAAGTAGGTCATGTAGAACTTAGGAATTAGTGTAGGGGATAGGTTTCTTTAAGCGAGTGAAAGAGAGATATTTTGTTCAGTTTTTGTTATCATTTGTTTTGCTTGTTTTCCTTATTTTTATTTAACAGAATAAATTAGTATTATTTGCTGCAAGAGGTGACTACTGCCACTGAACCGAAGAAGACTGTACACTGTTCCGCTGGTTTTTAAAGCTTTCCATCATTTAATAAAAGTACACGACGCAAAGTCTATAATAAAACTATGAACAGGGAAACACTGAGGTACATTCTACATTGAACTCCTGTCACTGGGTTGCCTACTAGAGGGCGCCTATTACAAATGTTTGAAATATATTGAACAGGTATCACAGACAAGGTGGAATGCCAGTCGTGTGGTATTCGACTCTACAACTGGCAAGACGACGAGGAGCCTCTCCAAGCACACAAGAAATATGCTCCGGATTGTGAATTCATGATAAAAGAGTTTCCCCAGATCAAAGCCCCGCCTAAACCCAAGAACATCCTCAGTGTGAAATACCCTCAATACTCTGATTATGAATCCCGCTTGAGGAGTTTTGACTCCTGGCCAGTGAAGTGTGTCGCCCAGAAACCCGAAATGATGGCCCGGTCAGGCTTTTTCTACATAGGCTCGGCTGACCGGGCAAGGTGTTTCCACTGCGGTGTGACGCTGAGAGACTGGGACACCGACGACTACCCACCATGTGCACACCGACAATGGTCAGAAAACTGCCCGTACGTTCAACAGCTCGATGTGGATGGAATGAAAAGAGAAATTGAAGAATGGGAAAGGAATGAGAAATTAAGAATACAGTATGAAAATTCGACTTTTATCGACTGTTCAAGCAAACGTAACAATGTGAATGTTAGTTTCTACGGTGCCGGGGATATCACAGTTGATTGTGCTACAAGTGGTGCAGCGGCCAATCCCCAAGTCCACTCCCAAGTTTCGGATCCTTCTAATGACGATTTCGGAAATAGCCCCACGATACAAGCTGTCGTTGAAATGGGCTACTCCCATGATATGATCAAGCAAGCCATAGCCATTAGAAGGAAGAATGGAAATGGAGATTTTCCCGATGCGGTCACTCTCTTTCAAGCAATCATGGATATCGAAGACGGAAGATGAAATCTACATGAAACCAACGCCACGGTAAGCACCAATGAGAGTAGGGCTGGTGTCCACGTGACTAAGTACATATCAGCGTTTGTCACCACTATCAACTTGTATCACAAGTGTGTCGGCTCATAGATTATTCGTTTTGACACGCATATTAATACTCTTGATGTCCTAAGTCGAAAACGGCAGATAATGAAATTTAGATTGCTTGTGTTGTATAAAAAGTGTCACATTCCTACAGAATGTTATGAGTCCAATATGATTATCGGGGAAATAGAAATATATTTGCGTATTATTAATATATATGATCTTAAATTTTGATATTCTGAAATAGATCTATTTACCTTTCGCAGATATATTTTTAGTGTAGGCTATACAGTAACTTTTTGTGTTGGTTTGAACAAATGACTATTTCCTAAGATATATTTTATTTTGGACAATGACATTATTATTAAAAACTAATATAATAATGTCATTCTAATTTTGTTTGTTTCAGTTGCATGTACCATTGCATGTACCACACCCAAGTGGTAGAGCGCGAGCTGGTCACGAGAGAAGAGGATCAGATGAGGGATGACACAAGTTCCGGCAACCGAATTTAAACTTGAACTTCGTTTAATAATTAAGAATTATTGTATTAGATTCAAGTTCACATTTGGAATCGATCTTAGGTCTGAACATTCCACTGAGCGTTTTTGTACACACCGTATTCGACTCAATTGGCACATGTTCGATGTGTTTTAATAAGATCTTAATAAGTAATATATTATAACTCCTGAGTCCACTTTTGTCCGAGAGTATATGATGACCCAATATTTAACATATTTCAATCTGATTCAGTAACTTATGGATAGTGATCGTTTTCTAGTTATCTTCTAACATGGTGTTCACTGCTGTGATAGCTGCTTAAACCATACTATACTAACTCCAACTCCAACCAACTGCTTTGTGGGCCAGTTGAGTCGAATAGGGAATGTTTTATTCACCTGATTTGTCCTTTATTGACCACAACACTTCTGTGGATTGTCAACATTCTCACATAATCAAACATTGAATAGCTTATTGGAGGAGGATAGAAAAAAACTTGAGAGTTTAAAATACCAAATGTGTTCTATTACCAATGCAGTGTTGGTTTGTTCACATTTCAAGCTATTCATATGGATCAGCTAGTTGTTTACTGACGAGGGGTTGTCATGGAAACAGCTTGGTCGATCTCGCAAAGCAAGATCAGACTGACAAATTTAAATATAAATTACGTGGAACGACCACGTTCGTAATACTTCATCTGACGATTATAAGACGTCATAACATCACTTCGTCAAGACAATAAATTGACCACAAGTAAATTCAAGCATTTTGGGCCCTTATCAGAAAAAAACCCAACTGTTCATTTAATAAATCCTACCGCTCCACAGATATTAAATGGATACCCCCTAACCGTATCAGTCTTGTTACAAATGGTGCTTTCAAACTGTGAATGCAGTTCATGTATCGGCATTGTACATATGTATAAAGTAGAATTGACGCAGTGAAACCCGTCAGTCAGGGCCGTTAATCGCCCGGATCTAAGAAGCATATGTTGCAGAAATAAATTCTCACAGAGTAACGTGTTTCCAGGTTGACGGGTCTGATCTAGCCAGGTTTCACTGCACCATATAACCACATTATAACTGGATCACAAAGTAGTACCCAAGAGGGAAATGATGTTTGTGTGCACATGGTCTCGATGTGTTTATTGCAACGAATAGCTGCAAAATTGCTGATGCGGTGTTAAACAATATTAAGTCATAATGTGTCGATTGGGGAGTAGTATCCGGGAAAACAGTCGGACATTCCGCGTTGACTCTCATTTCCGTTCTTTCTATTTGTGGGAATTTGGTCTAAAATATTTAAGATAAATTTGCAATAAGTTTTAATGATAGTGTGTGTGATGTTTATGCCTCCTGATGATGTGTAGTGTGTCTGTTAATCTCTAACTTACTTTTCTACTCAGTACTGCATACTTTTCCTTATTTCAGTAGGGCATTGGTGAAGTCTATGATATTATCATGGTGGAAAACAGTATGAAGGAAGTTATATAAGCTTTCTAGCAATACTGTTGTGAAGAGCGCCTTAATATTTTACATTATAGGAAATATACACCTACTTTCAACGTTAAGGGGCCTATGATTCGTTATTGGATGAAACCTAATCGATGCGAAAAAATGTTTGATTACAGACCGGTTTCCATTAAAATATACGGTTACTTCAGTAAGTGTACATAACAGACCTTTAACTACCTCTACAGAAAACGGATGCCTTTAGTTCAATGCACATATATATGACACCTTAGTATCATTGCTATCAGAATATGCACAAATATACATCTAAACGTTAATTAAGCACCACCCACTTTTTGCAGAAAAGTTCAACATTCAAATCATGAAAAGTGCTATTTCCTGTCTGACTCAATGTAAAGAGGATTGATTGTGCTAAAGGGATGTCCTGCACTATCACTACACAGAAAACGAAGCCGATGATTATCTTTGATACCAATTTATTGGGGTTATGCGAATAAGCGTCAAAACGACCATTTCATTAGACCTGAAAAGTATCACTGTCCAGTCCATACTGGTATCTGCAATGTCAAACGTTCAACTTAAATATGCTTGTTGTCATCATGGCTATCTCAAGAAACTGTTTAGTCAGTATCGGGAGTATCCACCTCTAACACGAATCACATTTTCAAGACGCCTTCTCATGCTTGAAATGAGACGTCTGATTCTAAGCATCGGGATTCTCTGCCACTCCTCGTGAAGAGCCTGTTGCAGTTCATCCATATTCTGCACAGGAGGATCTCTGGTTCTCACTTGGCGCCCAAGATAATCCCATAAATGCTCTATGGGATTAAGATCCGGGCTTCTGGCTGGCCATGGAATAGTGTCAATAGCATTGTTCCTCAAATGATCGACTACTGCTCTGGCACGATGAGGCCTGGCGTTATCATCCATGAACAGGGGACGACTGGCAAGTGTGTGATTGTCAAAATGGGGTATTACGGCAACATCCAAGATGGCACGTTGATAACGTTGTCCGTTTAACGTTCCCGGTACTGTGATTAGGTCCAGCTTGCAGTCGTAGGACACACAACCCCACACCATCACTGAGCCACCGCCAAAGGGGACCGTTGGTTCAATCATTTCCCGGGTTATAAGCTTCATTGCGGCGGCGCCAGACACGGCTGCGGCCGTCAGTGACGTGCAACAGGTAACGACTTTCGTCCGACCAGTGGACTCTGCGCCAGTATCGGAGATTGTGGTTTTGCCTTAACCTGCACCACGCCAGGCGTTCTCGCATGTGTCTGTCAGTGAGAAATGGACGTCTGACTGGTCTACGTGCACGCAATCCTGCAGCTCTTAACCTCTTTCGGACGGTATTCGTGGACAGTCTGACGCCCACTCGCCATTGTCTACGGAGGTCTTCAGCATGGGTCATTGGATTGCGTCTGGCTAAGCGAATTAAGGCCCTGTCGTCACGAGCACTAGTTTTTCTTGGACGTCCAGGTCTGGGTCGGTCTTTGACGTCTCCAGTTTGCACGTGCTTTCGTACCAGTCGGCTAACAATGGTGTGTGATTGAGATTCAAATTGATACCAATTTGACGGCATGATAAACCGGTTTCATGCATGCCAATGATTCTCCATCGTAGGTTCTCGGATAGCCTACGTCTCCTTTAGAGCATATACATACTTGACACACTCTAGTATTATTGCTATCTGAATAATTATGTACAACTATTACCAAGATATTAATGTGCATATTCACCCTCTGTACATGTAAATACCAGACTTTTAACAGTTTTCTGCTTCAACAGAAAATGGATGTCTTTAGAGCACATACTTGGCACACCTTAGCAATATTGCTATCTGTATATGTAGTATTATGTACAACTAATACCATATATTAAAGTGTACTATATTCATATTCACCTTTTGTACATGTATATGCCAAAAGGATGAATATAAAGTTTTGAAAAAAGGGTATGTGCGTGCGTTTTATGTAGACCCCTTAATTTGTTATTTACAAACTGATGTTTTGGGATGCATGTTCACATAAACTGCTGGGCAACAGATATTAAACATCTTTGAACACAGTTTAGATAAATCAGTGAGTGAGTGAGTGAGTTAAAGTTTTACGTCGAATCGGCATTTTTCAGCCATAAAGCGACGAGACCAAATTTGTATGCATACACATTGTAATTACAAATAATAAAGATATGAATTTATTTATAAAATATAAATGAGTTTGTCAACACACAAGCGTTCCCACAACGTTAGCAGGATGAAAGTAGTCACTCACTAATGCACTTAGAAATACCAACATGCTGGCATGTATATTCGAGAAGCAATTTGTATTTGTTTGATTAAAGATGTTTTTATAGTTAACATTTAATATGTACATTCAGTTGTTTCTATCTTGAGATGATTTCATCTTCTCAAGGCAGGATTAACTATTTAGTAGAGTTAACTCAACTATATTGAGAAAATACATCATTTACTATAAATGGCTGGGGATGACCCTTGCACATTTTATATGTTTATCATTATTCACCTAATAAATATGTAGTAGAGTATGTCACATCGCAGCGAGGCAGATCACAGGTTCTTTTTGGTGGATTCCTCTACAACAAGTATACAACACGACAGACATGTCGATATATTGTTAGGACCTGCAAGGGCAAATGCACAACAGTTGGAGATCTTGTCAGGAATGTTTCTGACCACAGTCATCCACCAGAAAATGTCACTCGGGCTAAGTTTATCGGCAGTCTTAGGAAAAGAGGTAGAGAAGAGACAATCCACATGCATGACATCTACAACCAGGTGATCGCTGAACACGATGCAGCAGAAGTCCCATTTGATTAAACTTGGTTGAGACTCTTGTTATGTGAAATCTATGTGCTGAGTTGAATCAGTGGTTTAGAAATAAATGATAAAAGACATGGAAGAATGATGAACTTCATATACATGGACTTGCAAACAAATGCACATCAAATGCAATAAAATGATATGTAGTGCTAATCAATTGTGTTGCGTTTTTCTTCCTATGTCTGTAACGAGTATGGACTATCCCATTCTTCACTATAGGTAATAGGTGTGTGCAGTGGTCTGTGACCTTATGTATATTGGGGGTGTAACAACTGGCATGTGTAACAAATGGGAGGATACCGATTTGTCATGTTTTTTTCCCACACACATCGCAACATGACTCTTATGCTTAATTAACAAAACATGTATAAGGGTTCTTAAAATACGAAATATAATTCTGGAATTTGCATTTGACTCATAATCAAAACATAATCAGTTTTCGATGGCTTCAAAAATAGGAGATCTAGTTATAATGTCTGCACACTGCAGGATAACATAGATATGCAAATGTAAATAGTTTAGTGATGGATTTAAATTGTATAATTGACGTTATATACAGTGCTAACAACATGTTTACGAACTCATTTTCTATATCTCATTGTTGATAAAACTAGGCCAAGGCTGCAATTGTATGCAGGCCAGCCATGATAACACAATGGAGTGGTATACACTATATAGTTTCTACGTAAATAAACCAGGTCACTCTGACATTTGGAAATCGTTTCGTACATCTTCCAGACGGTTGTTTGTATATAATTGATTCTGGACCAGACAATTCAGTGATTGACATCATGAGCATTTATGTATGCAATTGGGATACGATGGCATGCATTAACAAGTCAGCGAGCCTTATATTTACCACGTTGTCTTCGGTTCCTCGAACACTGGGGTTCGATTCCCAATATTGCTCCAATGTGTTAAGCACATTTCTTGTGTCCTCCGCAAGAATATTGCTAAAGGCGTCGTAAAACCTCACTCACTCATTCACTCACTCACTCGGGTCACGGAAGCGCCATATCTGTAACAGGAAGCAAGTAGTCCATCCGATACTGTTCCTCTTTGCCAACGTGTGCAGTAGAGCAGACGCGAGCAATTGACTAGTGGAGAGTGACCTTCAATGGCTTCATTTACACCACAGCTAATATCCCCAGGAAAATATATCAAACTCACGAGGAGCTACCTGAAACAACGCTGAACATATCTTCATTTTCAGAGTGAGTGAGTTAGTGAGTGAGTGAGTATGGTCTTACTCAGTGACTGCTTCTAGCATGCAAATAGAAACTAAATGATATAAAGTATATGATATGGCAGGATATTACATTTATGTGTTATCATAGAATAAAACATGCAAATAGAAACAAAAATATATAAAGTATATGATATGGCAGGATATTACGTTTATGTGTTATTATAGAATATAACATGCAAATAGAAACAAAATGATATAAAGTATATAACATTTGTGTGTTATAGAATAAAACATGCAAATAGAAACAAAATGATATAACGTGTATGATATGGTAGGATATAACATGTATTTGTTATTATAGAATATAACATGCAAATAGAAACAAAATGATATAAAGTATATAACATTTGTGTGTTATAGAATAAAA